GACAGAACGGAAAAAGACCACTGCCCGACTGAGGAATTGAACCCCAGACCTTCCGATTACCGGTCGGACGTACTGCCATTACACTACCGGGCTATCTTCTTCCGTCTTAGGATCTCTCCAGGATCCTAACAAATGCCGTTGAAATTCTTTGAAAGTTGAATACGGTTTGATGAAAAAATGTCACATAGAGCTCACAGACGTCTCATTTACTCTACACAATGGAGTTGTTTTGCAAAAGTTTCTGATAGGAATCAAAGGACTCGATTTCTCAAATTCTGGTTTTTCAAAGACCCTGGTTTCACAATATTTAATGAAATCTTTATATACACCCCTAGTGAATGTACTTGCATAACGTTTTTGCGCTTTTTATTTGCAAGTAAACCAAGTACGTATTAAGGAAATCAAGTACTTGAATTACTTTATCTTCTTGTCAAGTCCTTTGCTAAACACTTGTTCAAGTAACCCTCAAGTACCTGCAGGAGATTCAGCAAGTAAATCAGGTACCTCGCAAGTGCTTTCAGGCATTTATCAAGTAGGATTTTTTTGAAAATAGTTGTCAAGTGCTTGTCCAGTACTTGTGGAAATTTGGAAGTGAACAAGTAGCTACGCGCAAGCACATTCACTAGGGACGATACAAGCCTGAAAACTCTTTCAGCTATTCAAATCTTTTTCAGATTTGTTCTATCTATTGTGGTTGAAGAGAAAAATCAAAAATAACTTGTCTCTATAATTTAAGCAGGACTGTATTTCAATTTCTACATCTATTCATTTTTTCTTATTGTAAAAACACAACAGTCTACAGATTAAATAAACCAGTGAATATAATTGGAATGACAGATGATAAATGCCCAATCAATGCAAAATATAATCGAAATGCAACAAATCCTCAATGTATATGTCTACCAGGCTATTCAACAAGTTCAGATTTAGAAACATGTGGTAAGTCTAAATTATTTGTCTTTGACCGATCCTTATTGTTGACTGTAAGGATGAGGATAGTAGTAGATGATGATTTATCGTTCTTTAAGCATATAGCTAACCATCTTGGAGAGAAAATAATAAATAGAATAAAATTACGTAATTTATTATTTATTTCGTATTAAGATTCAGATTTATCACAGTAAAACTTAATTGTTCAAAAGAAAATAGATTTTATTTCAATAGAGAAACATTTCACGAGCAGTTATAACGAAAACTGTAATGAATTATAGTAAAATGAATTCTTTCTGAACACTTTCAGTTATGTCCAAAAATTTGAACCGAATTAGACCAGACTGTGCGATCTTCGATACCTTCAGAGAGAAATTTACATTTTTCAGCAAAAATCTCGGACGAAAGTTCAAAAAAGAAAAAGTGTCTCAAAAAATCTGAAATATACGTCATTCAGTTCAGTTTTTGATACTGATTCCAAATATGACATTAGTTTTGCAAAAAAAAGTTGAAGTTTGACGATCAAAACTGAGAAATACGGCGGCCCGTATTTCGTTCACGTTCAAAGAACGAAACTTGAGCTTTTGCGGGCCTAAATACGGGTGCATTTCCTTGTGTTCGGCTACGTGTTTCAAAAAAAATTCATTTTCTCAGCAATGAAGCAATATTTTCCAGAACCGATGCTATCTGAAGATTAGAATAAAATAAAAAAATTGGCTTCGTATTTAGAAAGAAAATACTAAGAAGGCTTGCACAATATCTAAGAAACTAAACTGCATGTGACTGAAGCAAAACAATTTCGACTAACACGTTATATTTAAAAAACCCCAAACGTATGTTTTTAGACTCAGTTTTTGATGAGAAATAAGAAAAAATTAGTTTGAAAAATAAACAGAACAATGAAAACAAACTATCCGTCACTTTCTAAAAAATTTAGCGCTCTTTTTTTCTCTATTTGAGAAAAAAAACAATATTTTTAATTTTTCCCCTCTAAAAATTGTTTTCAAAGGTTAAAACACACATATTCTTATTCAGCTCGACAAGCTTTACCAACCGTGTATAAATATCGCAAAAATAAAAAGCGCTGAAATTTTCAAACATTTGATTCTTCTCGATCATCTCTGAGTTTAGAAAATTCTTTAATCTCTCTATTCATGTGTATTTCAGACGTAAAGTTTTTAGATCCAGTTCTTTCTTAGAATAATTTTTCAATCTTTTAGCATCACGATTCAAGCGGTATTCAGATGAAAAATGTGTTAAGCACTTATTCTGGTGGAATGGTTACTCTCAGAAATACTTATTTGATTATCTATCTGTAGTTCAACGGCAAATGAACAACCTCTTAATATTTCGAGAATTTCTCCATTTTAACTCCACATATCCGACAGAATCAAAACTACAAATTTGTTCTGTTTATCTCTCACCTTGATATTATAGCATAATTTTATTCTTTTTTATACTTTCGTTTATTTATTTAAGAATTGCAATTGAAAGAACATGTTCCATTAAATAATTGTATAGAGAATAATAGTAGTTCAAGTTTACATACTCTATGTGCTGACAAATATGGACAATTTAGTAGATTTTGTAACATTGGTGTATGTCATTGTATACAAAATGTATCATATGCTTATCCTTCATCCAGTAATCCGTACAAATGTGGTTAGTAGATAACTATAATTATAATTCAATTTTTCTTGTACATTTTTACGATCTTTCTACCTAACGTATATTTTATTGATGTTTATAGTTTCTTATTTAAATACACCACAGAAATCAAATCTTACTACTACCGATTGTCCTGCTGGTAGCAAACCTGAAAATAATAATGAATGTAGATGTAAACCTGGATATAGCGAAACGAATAAAACATCTTGTGGTAAGTAACTAGATGAATTTTCTTCCAAAAAATCGATTGAATAGATAGATATATAGAAATTATACTAAACGATATAAAATTCGTATACTTTGTGGTAGAAAAAGGTCTATAATGTTTTCTTATAACTATTTTTCTAACAAAGATAGAAATAGATTTTTATACCACTTTTCTTTTTAATTATGTATTAGAAAACTAAGATTTTAAATGTAAAAGTTTAAGTGAAACTGAGACTGTTTTTCTATGTTACCTAAGAGTACTTTTAAACATGTGAGGACTAGGGATGCTGCGGTTTTTCTTTCGCCTTTTTTCAAAAATTCATAAAAATTGGTTTGTATTTTGGTACAAACGAGTTGCAAAACTTTTTTGAACCATCAGGTTTCTCTACAAGATAGTTCATAATAGATATTTTCAAAGTTGTTGATTTTCTTTTAAAAAACAGACGGTTTTAATCTACCCTACCGTAGGTTAGATGAAAACATTTTTTAAAAGAAAATAAACATCATCGTTAAAAATACTTACTATAAACCATCTTGTGGAGAAAGATTTTCTCTACGCCTGATGGCTAAAAGAAAAGCAAGGATAAGTCAAAGTGTCTTACATAGAACCTCTTAATATAGAAATTATGGCTGTAAGATGCCAAACATGCAAATATCGAGCGGATTTTATTCGTTGTTCGTTCATAGACAGCTGGATAGAGCTCGATTACCTGATCATGAAGATGTGATTTTCAACATTTTTGGATAAGCTTTTAAGTGAGAACAAAATTGAAAAATTCGGAGGCTGAAAAAATTTGAAAACCTGACTTGGTTTCAAAAAATTTGAAATTTTTGTCATTTGTCTTCTTCTAACTTGTCGAAAGTATTTTTTTGCAGATTCAACATTAAAAACTGCGTATGCTTGACGAGTTGCCCACGTAACGTGACACTTCGCTGATCAACTTTTTTCTGAATTTTTTTTCATCAAAAATCGATAAGGACACGTCATTAGAAGCAGTTTTTCATGCTGATCACGAATCTGACGTTCTTTTTGAAGAAAAAATTAGTTTTCGATATAAAAATTTTACTTTAAAATTTTTAAAAACTTTAATTTTCTGACCTAGACATTTTGTTCAAAAAAGTTTTAAAACATACCATTGAATAGAGAATTCAATTCTCCACAAAATGGCTCAGTTTATTTTCAGATCTGCTTTAGTCGAGATACAGTGGCTGCTTGAATGTTTCAACATCCACCTTGGTCTGAAAGCCTCAAAGGATTTTTCGAACTTTCTTTTCAACTGGAGTCTTTTCAGGAAGCTTAGAACTACACAGATTATAAGTATGAAATTTTTTGAACCACGTATAGTGCCTAAAAATGGTATGACAAAGAAGTATGTCAGGCCGTTACGAAAAATGTCACGGCGTTACGTTTGTTTTTCGCATTTTATATCCGAGCAAAAATAGTTGAAAGAAAACTTTTTTATCGTTGAATAGCTCGTTCGATGTTCTGCAAAACTGTCTCTTGAAACTTTCTAGCTAGATAGATACTTTTGAAGGAAATTAGAGCTTTATCACCAGTTCTCAAAATTTAGGGGCCTTTAATGTCATGCCGTTACGCACTGAAGAAGCCTTTCTGAAATCTGGAGACTTGAACAAAAAAATTTCTTTTTTACATAATAAGTAGAGTAAAGTGAGCTACGTCGAATGGCGCTAGAATGAGCTTTCTAGCTCTTATAGTTTTGGAGATAATTAAAGATAAGTGTGTCAAAAATGTCACGCCGTTACGTTTGGACAAGCCGATGATCGGGAGTGAATTCAAAGATTCATCCAGTATGGACGTCTTAGATCCCTTCTATAGAAAATTCAGAAACAGTTTTACAGATCTATTTAGTTCTTCTTTGTGAAGAGAAATACTCTTTTTATCCTTTTCGACCACTATGAACTTTTTTTAAAATTTTCAAGCCGAATAATTCGTGTGATTCTCACCAAAAATGAAAATCAACAAGAATTTTCGAAATATATATCATTCGACTCAGTTTGTGACGTTGATACGTTTATTCTTAAAAGTTGAGTTCTGATCGAGAAAATTGAGAGGTGGAGGCACAATTCCGAAATTTTCACTCCTGCTCAAGGAAAATTGACCTTTCTTAGTGACACAGCAATATGGAAAAACAAGCGATCTATACTTTTAAAGTTCATTTAATGGCAATTTTAATGAAGTACAAAAATCGACTTCATCTCTTCACAAAGAAGAATTAGATAGGTTTGCAAAACTGTCTCTGAACTTTCTATAGAAGGAATCTAAGACGTCCATATTGGATAGATCTGTGACTTCAACCATGATAAAGCATACGCAGTTTTTAATGTTGAATCTGCAAACTAAATACTTTCGACAAGTTAGGAGAAGATAAACGACAAAAATCTGAAATTTTTGAAACGAAGTCGAGTTTTCAAATTTTTCATCCGCCGAATTTTTTCGATTTTTTTTCTCACTTAAAAGTTTGTCCAAAAATGTTAATTCTATCCAGATCTATAAACGAACAAAGAATAAAATCCGCTCGAATTTTACATTTTCGGCACCTTACCTGCGTTTTGCAGATACAGAAGGAAAACGAAAAACTAAAGAAAAAGGCTTATCTAGTTTTTTAATCGTATAACGGACAACGTAGGACATTTCCTTGTAAATACAGTTGTCGAAAATTCTTGAGCAATTTTTTTTACTAAAAATAATTTGATTGCAACAATAATGCAACAATAATGCATATTTATTATTGCTGTGATACCCAGTCAAAAAATAATATCAAGAAGAGGAGTATGATGGAGCACTCTTTTTGGAAAAAAAAGAAAGGAGTACTCTTTTTCCCAAAAAGAGAAGAAGTAATCTCGATAACCCTTTTTTAAGAATTACTTCGGAGTACTCTATATGTGCAGTCAGTTTTATACATTCGATTCGATTACTACTTCAAACGTGATTCTGAAATTTTGTTTTTTAATCTCTTATACATAGTGCTCCGTCTTGTCTACAAAAGTCAATATAAGGGCTCTCTCTCTACACAGACAGGTATAAGTTGGTAATCACCAACAGTATGATAAAGAAGGATCAAAAGCTTTATTCTCTTTGATTTATTTGAACATCTGATTTAGAAAAGGGGTAAGTTTTTTTTGCACTGAAACATTTCATCTTACTATTTTTTGCTCTGTATTTTTATACATGTAAACTAAAGATATTACTTCAAATTATTTCCTTTCTGGTGCACGTTTACACGATACAATTATTTTTTCCTTTTATATATTTTTTTAAGATTTGAATTTGTCACCAGGTGCAACAGGCAGTGATTGTGACTTATTAAACAGTGCAGATGGAGATGTTTCATGTAATTCTGCATGGCCATATAGTCGAATATGTAAACGTGGTGAATGTCGCTGTGATGGTAGCAAATCGTTTTATTCTCTTTATTCTCTTCGCGTTCCACTATGTGGTTAGTATAAAAGAAGAATTAAGCCAGAAAAGAAATAAAAATTTCAACTTTTTATAAAAATAAATTTTAATTTCTTTCTTTTCATTGATAGTTGTTCTATTGGATACACCACAAAATTCACCAATTATTGCTCCTACCGTATTATGTCCAGAGCATTCGTTAAATAACAATAAATCAGATGAATGTCGATGTGATACTGGTTATCGTACCGATCCAAATTCAAATAAACAAGTTTGTGGTAAGATCTTTTTTCATTCAAACAAAAAATGTATAACTACAATTTTCGAAATTGATTTTATTTTTAGTCAAAAAATCATCAAAATTATATAACTATAATGAGAATCCACCATCACCACCAGCTGAAAATATAACACTAATTGATGATTGTACAAGTGTTTATTCAGGCCCACTTGAAATAGTTAATGCTTCAAATTCACAAAACTATTGTCGATGTAAACGATATTCAGTCAAATTGAATAGTACAGCATGTTGTAAGTAAATTGTATAAAACGGGGTCCCCCCATTTAGATTTTCTTTAGGATTTTCCAGTTTGTAGAGGACACGTCGATTAATTAACGTTAATTGAGTCTTCTCTACTAGATTAAAGTTCTGTTTGAAAAATAACGGCTTAACGAATAACTTCAAACAGTGCCTCATCTGATAGAGAATTTCTCAAGCTACAATTTGATATATATAATATAGAGAAAAAAGTGTCCTAGGGTACTAAAATAATAGAAATATTTCTGCAAAGCTCGAATTCTGCTCGTAATTCTCAATTTTCTTCATCAGAACTCAAGTTTTATGCAATAAAACTATCATATTCAGAATCAGGATCAAAAGTTGAGTTGTTTAATGTATATTTTCATCCTATCCGACTACTTTAGTTTTTGTCGAATTTTCACGTTGAAAAATTATCAAGATTTTCATTAAAAAATGAAAATCAAAGAAAATTTTCGAAATACACATTGCATCAACTCAGTTTTTGGTCCTGATTCCGAATATGATATTTTTATTGCATAAAAGTTGAGTTCTGACGAAGAAAATTGAGAATTACGAGCAGAATTCTGGCTTTGCAGAAACTTTAATTTCACTTTAATTAACTTAAATTTATTTATTTTTTCTTAAATATTATAGTTTATGATCAACTTTTCTTAATTGGTACGGGTAATATGTCCGATCGATCAAACTGTACACGTTATAAAAATGATGACTGTAAAACATTGTATAATGATCAAGCCTATTGTGATATCATTGATGGTCGTGAAAGTTGTTTATGTAATAGACAAACAAGTTTTTTGAATAATAAAATATGTCGTAAGTTATAATCATTAACAATAAGAACAATAGTATAAGCAAAAAAACGAAAGAATATATATTCTAATTTTAGAATCATTTGCTTCGTTTGTCTATCCATCGGTTAGTGGACTATTAACATCTGCATGTGATACAAATAATGATTGTAAAATACCCAATACAGAATGTAAATTTTATCTTTTAACAAATTATAAATTATGCCAATGTAAATCAGGATATTTTTTGAATCCAAAAGCACAGACATGCGGTAAATACTCTAACTGATTATATCTCAAAGTACTTTTACTTTTACTTTTCTTTATTATCAAAAACAAAAATTAGAGAACAATCGTTGTACGGGTGAACGTGATCCATCGACAAATTTTATCTGTGATGGTTATAATTGGAGATGTCAAGATGGTTATTATGAAAATACTAATAAAACCGGCTGTGGTAAGTTTTATTTCTGATACATAAAGGATGGTCCCGAAGCCCTGACCTGATTTGAATAATAACTTTTTCTATAATGAAACAAATGGTTGTAGATTTGTCTGTAAAACACGCTCTACAAAATGACCCCACTAGCTCATATAGTAAGAAAGTTCTAAGCTTAGAAATGTTTCTAATGTAACGGGTGTACCATAAATAATGTCGGTCTCGGTAATTTTGCTTTAACTTCTGATCCTTAGGTCGCCTAGAGCAATTTCTCTTTTTAATAGGAGCGGCGTGAAATTCTCTACAAAATCATACCTAAACTTTAATTTCAGAACGTCAATCAAGAAAACTAAGGAAATTATAGAAAAGGCGAAAAAATGAAAACTTTATAAATTTGGTACTGTTTTCGACTTGAACGCTTACTTCAGCTATTATTTCCGTAAAAAAAGCATAGCAAAAGGGTGAGAATTTAGTTTGTGTTTGGTACTTTCAAATGGACTCTTTCTCGTGGTCTGTAAAAAATTTTTTTAAAGCAGATGATGTGCTTTAGAATGAAGTTTTAAAAATCGACAGCCCTCGTTTCTGACAATGTGCTCAAACAAGAAACAGAAAACGTGATCAAAGTTTGATTTTACAGTTAGATAGAGAAGCAATCATTTCTGATCAAAACACAACAAACCCGATCGAAAAATCTTTTGTTTTGATGGAGTTATGGGACTTTTACTGAAAGCACCACCATACGAAGAAGGTTTACGGTTAATTATTTTTTGGGAAGCACATTTCTAAGCCGATAACTTTCTTACTATATGAGCTAGCGGCGCACAGTGGGCATTTTTCCGTAGAGCAGGCGGACAGCTGATTTTTTGAGTTAATAAATGATTATTTTCGCATAATATAGTCTTATTATGCGTCAGATATAGAAGTAAAAAAAGTCGACTTCGAAAAAAATCTTTATTCGATAAACAATGCCCTTGGAGGACTCTCGCCCTGTATTCTCGTTAAAAAATATTTTATTTATAAAACTAACAAATTATACATCATTCGATGCAGTTTTTCACGATGATTCAGAATATGTATATATTGTTCAGATAGAGTTTTTTGCAAGACAAAAAATTTCTATAAAACCTCAAAAACTAAGGCTTTTTGGAAAACCTGTAGATCCTTAAGGAATGAGTTGGGAGATTTTGAGAGATCACCATTGATTTAGCATTTTTTAAGGAACATTTTTCTAAAAAAAATAATGTCGATTTGATTCCGGTACGCTCCGGTACTGTCATTTTACTAAAATGAGCTTGTTTTCAGAGTTATTTTAATTTAAGTTTTTTCTGCCACTAACTCTGGTTATTTTTGAAACTTTTTAATAGCTCATTCCAAGTGCTTTCAGAATCTGGAGTCATTCTCCTCGACACTACATTTCATTTGGGAGAAAAGTGACTTTTATTAGTGAATAGTCAGTTTCGACTGGAGTTTTTTATATGTGAATTTTTCGGGAAGCAAAAGTCGTAGAAGAAAAATTCTTTCGCCATCACATCGGCCGTCGTTCGAAGTATACTTATCACTATTTGAAACATGAAAAATGAAACTTGCATTTTTTTTGCCAAAAGAGAGCCTGAATGCCTACTATGTGAGGTCAATCAATAGTCATTCTGTAGAGCATGTTTTACTGCCTCTTTTCTCATAGAGACAAATTTACAACCACTTGTTTCACTATAGAAAAATTTATTATTCAAATCGAGTCGGAAACTTCTGGACCACCCTTTATTATTTCATTCACTATTCCTATTGTATTTTTAAGTAAAAATTACTCATGTTTATAACAAACCATATCAATATTGTAATGCATCCTTTTCAACAACAACAACAACATCTGGTGTTCGATGTACTGAGTGTAATCGAGCTATGTGTGAATTAGATTATCAAGAACAAGATGATAAATGTGGTATGTAGACACAGAATACATTTTAAATCAATATATTTCTAATATCCTCTTTATTATTAATTATTTTAGTTCAAAATAAATTTGAAGATAAATGTCAGCATAAACCAGAAATTTGTAATAAACTAGTATCGGGTTCATCATGTAAAAATAATGAATGTGGTTGTTATACAAGTGGTACATATAGAGATGATGCTATTTGTGGTAAGCATGTTTTTTCATAAAAATTATTCTATATATTTAAATTAAAATTAGACTTTTTTTTTTTTACAGCTCGTGCAATTGGATATGAATGTGATCAAACAGCACAATGTGGTAATGGTGGATTTTGTTCTGATCGTGAATGTCGTTGTAATATAGGATATACAGAAACAACGGTAACAGACACAAACGGGAAATATATTCAACGCTGTGTTCGTCGCAATAGTAAGTTTCTTACTTTTCTTATTGTTAACTAGTTTAGAAAAACTTTATAAAAATTTTTATTTTTATAGATGGACGAAATATTCAATATTCATTATGGTTATTGGTTTTACTTTCAATTGTATCATTTATTAATTCATAAATAGTACAATAAATTTCAGTCATTTTATATGTATTAAGATTATAAAAAAGTGTATAAAACAAATATTTTTTGACAAAATTTTCCTCATTGTGTTTTATTATTCTGAATAATCTTCATCTTTTTTCGTTCTCACTGTGATATGACATTTTATTTATCTGTTTACGTGAGTGTGTGTACTCTTCCAGCCGAGTATATTTTTTAAATTTGGAAATATGTCATCGAAAACTACTTTTCAAGCCAACATTATTTCTATATATCTAATCGATATGAAAACGTACGATAAATAAAACAGACTTAACAGTAACAATAATTCTTGATGCAATAAAATTTATTCAAAAAAAATTGAACTAATTGATCTTTCTATCAATAGATATTCATTTTCAAGACAAGTGATACAATACATTGAACTGGTGAAACTGACGTATAAAATTCTAAAACATTCCATCTTTGTGTTTTCCAGATTCAAAAGCAAAACGAAAAATCAAAATAAAAGGCTTATCTAGCTTTTTAATCATATAATGGACAACGTAGGACATTCACTATTTCGAACTAAAATGATTAATAACAAAGAGGATATTAGGCAATACATGGATATGAAATGTATTCTGTGTCTACATATCATATTTACCATCTTGTGAACAAATAAATGGTAGAATTGTACTATACGGAATACAGTTGACGAAGCCGGAGACATTAGGTGAGAAAGCGCAACAACCTTGCTTTCACATCCGGCCTATTGTCCATTGTTAAGTCCATCGTTAATGTTTGAGTCAACTCAACAAAATTTACTAGTCTCGACGCATCAAATCAATTTACACAAACAATAAAAACTAGTGGTTTTACTAAAGCAGCACATCTCGAAGCATCCAGATGGGGAGTATCGGTCAAAGTTTCTCATGCTCAAGATTCAAAAAAAGAATACAACTACATTCACACAGAAGAAAACACAATCGACAATCTCTGTTTAAACGGACTACACCGTTGTACCGATAAAATGCTTTCGAATACCGCGTGAAGAAATGAAAGTATCCACTGAAGTTGAAAATGCATTAGCTAGTGTCAGCACTAAACATGGGCGAGATCGGAACCAAAAAGTTTTTTATCGGGACCGGAGCCGGAAACACACAACGACATTAGAACTAAGATTTCTGGATATGAACACCGTTCGTATGAAAAAAGCTCATGTTCACCAGTGCTGTAACGTTCACATTCAAGGAACGCCAGCGTGCTTTAACGTTCATGTTCAGGGAACGAAACGTGAACTTTTACAGGCCTATTGTGATCTCACTTAATTTACAGCAGCTTTAAATGTAATCATCATAAACTAGTTTATTTAATTAACTGTTAACCTTTCGATATTTTAAATATCATTTTCAGGATGAAAACACAATAACAAAATTTCAAAAGTTATCTACAATTCTAACACAAAGAGAGAAGGGAAGAACAAGTTTTTGTTACACACTTAGAACTGACATTTTTTCTGTGTGTATACTAGTACTATTATTATACTTATACGTCAATCTCTATTGACGAAAGAAACATACGAAAATAAATTTATTTTCGACTGTAAATGTCGGCCACTGGGAACATTACGTAGTCATTCAGTTTATTTTAACTGTTGGTTTTTGCAATTTTCAGCCCTTCAGGGAAGATAATCAGAGGGACACAACACGTTGTTCGATTTAAACTTGGTTGTTTGTCCTGATCTTGTAGAGATTCGCGAACGAGTAGACCACATCTTTTGAAATACTTTCCCATCCTTCCCAGTTAACCTCATGCCCGGTTCTATTTTATATCTGTATATTGCTGATTTGCACAAAATTTTGCACAAAAATTGTTTCAAAAGTACATGTATATTTTTTTTGATTTCATAAATATTAGCTTCTGCGAGCCTATTTGATGTTTGATGAAGGGCATTTGATGCAGGTTTGTTTGTTGATCTCAAATACGTTACTAATCTTAATTGGAAATACATGAGAAGTGAAAACGGCATAAATTAAGTAAAATGGTGAGGATGAGTGGTGTATATGAATTTTAATTGCCGATGAGATGAATGTTTTTATTTGTTTTTTTGCTTTACCGATATAGTCTCGTCGATATTATCAGGTGATCATAAAAGTTTGATAAAAATCCTTTTTTTGTAGTCGAAAAGTTTGGTATTTTTAAGAAAATTTATTCTTACGATTCACACGTGAAAGAATAAACAAAAAAAACCAGATTAGATCCATAGATATATAAATAAAATTAAATACATTTTTTAAGCACAATAGCTTCGGATTCATCAGTTGATTTTTCCCAACTCATTATTAACGAATGAAAGATCATTTTGGTGTAGGATGTAGATGTAGGATTGAGGAAAATTCTTAGCCAAAGTTATATGTAAACACGAATAAAGGCCTTAATTTCTCGCCGACATAGCGGACAGTTGCGTAATGAATGACCGCATGGTACGCATGTTGCCAAATGACCACACGGGATGCATGCCAAACGTTTTTCATCTGTCAAACATAGAACACAAACATTGAAGTTTTCTGTTTCTCCTTGTCTTGGTTTTTCCTCTAAAATTAAGAAAATTTCTTATATTTTCTCCACAAAAGAAAAATTGTAATAAATTGCTTACCCTTTTTAGTATCAATTGGTTCGATTGATGGTGTTGATGTAACCATTTCAGATCCTTCTTCTTCGGTGTCAGAACCGTTGACATTGACCATTGCATTTGACTGGGCCATTATCGCCTCTAACAAGAGAACCGCAATTTAATTTCAGATGTGTGTTGATTAAAGAATCTTTACCTCGTTTATTTTTTTCGGTTAATTCCAGCAACCTTTTCGATGGAATAATAATATTCTCTTTTCTACCATCAATTATTTCAATTTGTTTTTGAAGAATCAAACAGGCCATGTAAAGATCGCTATCACTCGGGAAATCGTCCTCTAAATGCGATAAAATTTAAATATTGATAAATAAAAATATTGAAATTCAACGAACGTTTTAAACGTAATTGATCTTCATAGCATCGTTTAATAATTGATAATTTAAACTTGGTCAGAAGACGTTGCGATACGGGAGAATCGAGTCGTGCAGCGACTAATCGAGACAGTGTGCTCTCGTCAGGAATTTGTAATTGATCAGCATTTGAAGTTGTTAATGAAACCGAAAATCTAGTCTGTGTTTGTTGTTGCGTAATATGCGAACATGCTAAAAACAGAAATATTATGAAAAATAAGCCTGTATGAAGAACTTAAAAAATCCTTACTTTGTTTAGCAGCTCTTTTCGACTGCTGAATTTTTTTATATAAATCATCATCGCATAATTGCTTCACATAGGAACAGTGCGGAAACCAGCGGGCATGTTCAATCATTGGATTATCCTTTTCGCCCCAATTCTGTAGAGATCCATTGCAATAGAAGCATGTCACGATCGTTTTTAGGCCGGAATAGAAAAAACCAGCTCGGATAAGATCATCCACTAGTGGTAGCGGCAGATGATGTGGCCATGATGCATAGGTAGCTTGACGTTTCGGTATTTCAACAAATTGTGGATTGCAAGCTTGTGCGAGAACAATTTCCATGTTCGCTGGCACATATGGTGTTTCATTGAGGATGGCAGGTGTCGTTGTACTAGTCGCGACGAGGTTTGATTTGACGAAACAGCAGTTGGGCGACAGAATTCTGTGGATTTCAACTGGATCATCGGTGATAAGCCATTCCTGACAAATCAGATTACAGTAAATACAAATGACTCGGTCACCAACATTGCAGTTGAAAAAACCACTATTGACCATTTGAGATTGTGATGGTGATTTGAGTTGCCAGTGAGAATACGTTCGTTTTCGAATCTCATTTACAGTGAATAATTCGTGATATTCACAGGAGACTAGAACTCTGGCTACTGGTGATCTTTGACTATTTTGTACTTTATCTTCTTTGTGCTGTCGTAATTGTTCTTGTGTGATGTCGTCTGGATGTAAAATTTCAACTGAAGCCATTAGTTTAGCAAAGGCTGTTTCGAAGAAAGATAATTTTTTTCTGACTATTTCACTTTAGAATATGAAATATAATTATTATCTTTCAGCGTGTAATACTAACATCATTTTATACATATATATATATAGTTAGGGAAAATATACTCTTACCCACTATTTTCGATAATTTACGCCTGTTTTACCCAATACTGGTAATTACTGAGTCATCGCTGTTTTTCACCACTTTTTCTGCTGATTGGTCGATGGTATTTTTAAGTTTCTTATGCACAAAGAGACGAAGAGATACTAAAAATGGGTGATTATTATTTGAATTCGGCTGGAGGTCCTGATATGTTGATAATGGAAAGGATGCTTATACCATTTGACAATGTTGACAATTTTCTTACATTTAGAAGAAATATGACGAAACACCATCAAGTTCAACAGACTTAACGCCTCCCTAGTGAAAGTACTCATACGATGAGCACGACTTTACTCAATTCATCCATGAGTACTCATATGAGTTCTTCTAACAATTTCTCAGTATTGTTGCTCAGAAAATATTCATTCATCATTTTATTTTGCTAAAATGAAACTGTATAAAGAATGTAGAATTTAATAAAGAAACATAGAATATCTATATTAAATTTATATTTAGAAAATTATAAGATATTTACTTATATTTATTTATATAATATATTTTTCCTCGCTGGTCTCTCTGTACATAGTCAAACATGGACTCGTCTGTGACTACTAGTAGTCCAACTCAGGCTGTCTGAGAACACTTCTCCATGTGATAATACCAGATGAACAATACTCAGGAGTATTTTGCCAAAAGTTATATGAGTACTCAACAATACCCAAGCGTGAGTACTCGAAATCGTACCCACAGTATCCATTCAATCATGAGCATTCGTGTATACTGGTCGCACTTTTCAGCATGTATAATAATTAAATGAATGAGAAAAGATTATCTCAACTATATTGATCGACTAAATTGAATATAATTTTATTTTCGTTTATCTCTTTCATAATACAGTCATTCACATCTATATTATTGTGCAATTTTTTATGCATAGTGCTTTATGATGTTATTTAATTTTCAGAAAGGGAGGCCTGAATTTCGGCCCACGAACTTTTTGTCCCGGAATTTCGTTCCGGTCCGAAATTCCGGTTATTTTTCGCCCCGGGCCGATAGCCTGAAAGGAGTTTCGGACCAAACCTTAATTTACCTGATCAAGTTTATAAATAATTAGTAGACTTCATGGTGCTCAGCAGTATGACATGATGCTTCGCAAGACGATATAGTGCTCAGCATTGCAACATGATATTTAGCATTTTTCACTCAATTCTATTCGTTCACACTTGTTCTGATTGTATATTCGAGACTTCGTTGTCCATGGGTATTAGATAATACCATCATGTTGAATACCAATGGAAAATACAGCATAATACTATTCTTCTCGCAGCAAAATCTTATCGTTTCTACAGTCAAATAATTTTAATAAGTAGAACATATGTATGATAAAGCTTGGCAGGTTTATAAATCAATTAAAATCGTCCAAAATTTCTGCCATAATGTCTGCTATAATGAAAAATGATGTATTTTTCCAAAGTATACCATTGGCTCGCCCTTGAAATTCTCTACAACGTGAGTTGGTCACAATATCCAGACAGTTGGGGCCAGTCATTAAAGATATGAAAAAGAAGCATTTCTGTGTTATCTAAGCAGTACAGTGCGTCATAATCACACGAACTCCTTTGCTTTTGATTTTTTAGTAATGGCTGGAACCAAACTGAAGATTGTTTCGAACGGCGCGAAGATCTTTCTATCAGATATGATGCATATCGCATATCGCTATAATTTTTCGTTCTGGCAGAAAAATAACTAATGAAGTGTTTAAAGCACTAAGATAGATGAAAATCATTATATCGGCCAAGTATTTCGACTTTTGACCCAGATGGGTACATTGTGAAAGACTTATTTATAACTCATTTCGAAGCCCTCTTAGCTCAATTCTCTATCGAATGACATATGAAGTAGGATGATCAAAGAACAAATTAAATGGATGGTACAAACATGAACTATGCTGACGCACCGATTTGCGGAGATCGTAGCGAGTATTTCGCACCTAAGACTGCCCAGTTACAATTCCTTCTGGCTATCGTATATATCACTTTCTTGCCCGTAAAATTCACTTTCGAATGATATATATAGTAGAGTGGTCAAGAACAAATTCAACGGATGGTACCAACATCAATGAGAGTGATCTGCCGGTTTGCTGAGATAGTGTCGAGTATTTCGGATCTTAGACCACCTAGTTACATTTTCTTGTGGATATCTGATATATCATTTTGTAGCCCATAAAATTCTCTATGAACGGTGTACAATAGTTGATATTTGTTCCGGGTGAAAGAGGTGGAGTTATAAAAATACTCTGAGGAAAGGTCATTTAAAGAGGGAAGAGTTTATTTTCCCTAAACGTTTCCAGGGGCGCTGAAAAGGATTTTTAATGTCTAAAATATGTTAGGGTTAATCGCGGACAAAAACTGCATCGGTGGAGTTAACATAAGACTAATTTGAGAAGGGGTCGATTTTGGCTCTTATCGTCCTCCTTCCTCTTTTTCAGAAATGCCTCATTTTCACCTCAATTTTGGCCAACTAAATTTGTCAATTTCAATATCCATTATCTTCTTTATAAAGATTCCATTGTCATTCTTTTTAATTTTCGTATTAATTCTTTAATTTTATGTAATTCATTTTATAATTTTTGTTTATTATCCATAGTCGATTCAAAAATATAAATAAAAGATTTTTTATATTCGTTAATAACTTGACTTATTTTATTTTCTAATAATAAAACTAATTCATTTGAATATTTATTCATTATTTCACTATCGTATAATCGTTGACATTGTGATGGAACATCAAGAATTTTATATTTATTATTAATAATATTATCTAATGTCATTTCTATCATTTTATTTTTAAAAATATCAAATGATAGAAATTCATTATTAAATAAAATAATTTCTTTACTAATATCAACAATACAATTATCAGATGAATGATTTTTTATATAATTTAACATCTTATTTTCAATAATTTTTGTTATATCTGTACCAAATGTTGGTATAAAATCAATAAAACTTTCATATTGTATACCATCAACATAAAAATATTGTAAAATTTGTGTATTTGCATTCAAAATTCCAATAAGAACAATAGATAATGGTCCAGCATATGCTGTTACACCATTCATACATGTATTTTCTAAAAATTCATTTCTTTTTTGATCATCTATCATTATAATATCACCTGGATAATCAACAATACATATATAAATACCAGTTATTTTTAATTGAATTGATACTTGACGACATAAATCATCCATTTTACCAATAATAAATATTGGAAATGTATTTTCAAATATTATTTTACGTATTTTTTCAATTTGTTTATGATTTGTATTTACTTTTGGTACAGTTTTACTAGCAAATAAAATGGCAACCCCTTTCACAGGTATTAAATTTGGAAAATGATGTTGACCAATATCTAACTCTTCATTTGAATAAATATTTTGATATTCTGAATGTAATTTATATTCATTATCGATTTTTTTCAAATATAATATGTGTATTCATTGATCTAATTAATATATCGGAATTTATTTTCCTTGTAAAGTAATCCATTTCATCAATACCACTATATATTAAAACAGAATGTTTACCCATTGTCACAGATGATGATGATGTTTTATATTCTTCTTTATCCGATTGTTCACATTCTACATGATTCAATAATGTTGATTTATATGAATCAATTATTATTTCTTTTGTTTCTTCGTTTGTTTGTTCTTCTTCAACTGATTCTTCTGAACTAATCGTATTAAATGATTCAATAATTGTATTTTTAGCCAATGTTGATAATGTAGGTAAAGAACTATCACAAGATTTTGTATTTGAAAAAATTTCAAATAATAATTTTTATTTTTCATTATTTTGATTATTTAAACATGTAATACCAATTGGTAAACATATAGTTGATTCTCCTATAGTAAATTGATCTAATGGCACAGAAACAATATAGATTATTTTTTTTTCATGATCAATAATTGTAACTATTGGTCGTCGTTCAATATAACGATATAATGGTGTATTTGAATATCCAGAAATAATAGTCACATATTTCATTCTATTATTAAATTGACCAGATATACAATGCAATAATGAATTACCTATATTAACATCACCCGAATGTATTAAATTATCAACATTTCTACAACTATAATCTAAACAACGACTATTTGAATCATTTGAACATAATCCAAGATCAAAATATGTTGGATAAATTTCTGAAATTGCAATAATTGTCGGTAATTTATTATCTATTAAATTTAAAATAAATTTATAGCCACTATCTATCATTTCACATTGATATTCATCTGGATTAAAATTTAAACGATTTTTAGCTAAATTATATTTTTTTATAACATTATCATAAACCGTATCTTGATTAGACCCTTTATCGAAAAATATTTGTTTATCTATATTCGAAATATCTATAAAATCTATATTATTATCTGATTTTTTATATAATATTTTATTATTTGGATATATTATCGCATTATTAATTGGTAATAAGATAGCCTCTTCCAGACATTTTTCTTCACCATGATATACTGTAGAATAAACATGTGTTATGGTTTTTAATTGTTTTTCCATTTTTTTGCTTATAATATTAAATTATTATTGCTAAATAGAATAAAAAATAGTTTTAACAATAATTTTTGTAAATTCGTGATCATTTGTCTTTAGTGGAAATATTAGTTTTCACAATAAAAAAACACCAAGACAAAAATGCTCTGGACAAAGCAGAATTTCTATACAACCTACCCGATTTTATGACGAGAAAGTTTCAGAGTATATCACAGCATCGGAATTGTTAGACTTACAAAGAGAAGTAAGAGTAAATGTTGTTTGGAGTAAGTTTGCATACTATGAACAGAATCCTAACCAACCAAGGAACATCGGTTCCAGTGCAGGAAAAACTAGTCATCTGGTCAGAAAATCGGCGATCTATTCTGGGAAGAATCAACGTCGTAATCAGAGAATCAATGGCTATCCTTTTCACATTGCAATAATCTGGTCACTGCCTTGAGCAGTGTCTGATTGTTTACTAGAGTTTCTATTGATCAGATAAAACCAAGCAGAAATGTACATGTTCTTACTACAGTACAAGAACAGAATTTTATATTTACGTCAGACAATATGAACACCGTTCGTATAAAAAAAGCTCATGTTCACCAGTGCTGTAACGTTCACATTCAAGGAACGCCAGCGAGCTTTAACGCTCATGTTCAGGGAACGAAACTTGAACTTTTACAGGCCTATTGTGACCTCACTTAATTTACAGCAGCTTTAAATGTAATCATCATAAACTAATTTATTTAATTAACTGTCAACCTTTCGATATTTTAAATATCATTTTCAGGATGAAAACACAATAATAAAATTTCAAAAGTTATCTACAATTCTAACACAAAGAGAGAAGGGAAGAACAAGTTTGTCTTACACACTTACACATGTAGAACTGACATTTTTACTAGTACTACTATTATACTTATACGTCAATAGAGAAAAAAACATACGAAAATAAATTTATTTTCGACTGTAAATCTCGGCCATCGGGAACATTATGTAGTCATTCATTTTATTTTAACTGTTGGTTTTGCAATTTTCAGCCCGTCAGGGAAGATAATCAGAGAGACACAACACGTTGTTCGATTTAAACTTGGTTGTTTGTCCTGAACTTGAAGAGATTCGCGAACGAGTAGACGACGTTTTTTTGTATCTTTTGAAATGATTTCCCATCCTTCCCAGTTAATCTCATGTCCGGTTCTATTTTATATCTGTATATTGCTGATTTTATTAGTTTTTCTTCCTTGTTGAAGTAGCAGAAGGCTCTCCGAACTCCTCTTCGTCTTCTTCTACTTTAAGATAGTATTCTGGTTTCGATTTAGCTACAACTCGAGCAGATCTTCGAACATCTCACTGGGTAGTTGTGATGATATTTAATCTTGAATTTGAAGGTGTAGCCTGTTCAGATAGCACACTGTGTTCATTATGTCTTCATACGGCTTGTCTTACAGTTTCACCGATATAAGTATCATCACAATCATTACAGGATATCATATAAACTAAATGTGACTGCAGATCTTTACATATATAAGTATAATAATAGTACTAGTATACACAGAAAAAATGTCAGTTCTACATGTGTAAGTGTGTAAGACAAACTTGTTCTTCCCTTCTCTCTTTGTGTTAGAATTGTAGATAACTTTTGAAATTTTGTTCTTGTGTTTTCGTCTTGAAAATGATATTTAAAATATCGAAAGGTTGACATTTAATTAAATAAACTAGTTTATGATGATTACATTTAAAGCTGCTGTAAATTCAGTAAGATTTCTTCTCAAATTATTATCCATTACAAAACAAAAATTATAGACGTATTTGTATCCGTTTACGCTTAATTCTGGTTCAAATATTAACCATCATTCCAGATGCGAGCGAGAGGAGGGGTTATGGTAGCATGACTGTGAATTACGAGAAAACGTTTCACTCTTCCGGGCAGGTGGGTTGCTTTCTGCTGGTAATAAATATGCATATTTATGTGAATACGGATACGAAATGAGAGAAGTGTTAATGGGACGAACTCAGACATAACAGAAGAATAGACAATTCGTTCTTCGCTCTTTTCAGTCAAGGAGGAGACTGAAAGAGATACGCTTTAGTTTTTCCTTTCTGTATCCTTCACAATTCTGTGAGCAGTAGAACTTTCCTACGTGGGTTTAATATGATCAAACGTTTCAGCTTTGGAATATATTCTTAATACACTAAAAGGATTGCGGCAGATGACTCTCGAAGACTCGGTTTTCTAGTAAACCTGTTTTTCGCAAACTCTAAAAACTAACCAAAACCTTTTCGAAATGAGACATGATTGTAGCCGCAAATTTCTGATCAAAATGAGACATCTCTCAACTCTACACGACCTTTCTTTGCAAGGTTATAGAATTTACAAGAAAAGCCCTAAATTAATTTCTTCTTATTTCTGTAGCTTTGAGCTGACAATGAGTATTTAGGGCTTTTGTTGTACATTCTATAACTTTGCAAAGAAAGGTAGTGTAAAGCTGAGAGATGTCTCATTTTAATCCGAAATTTGGGATCTACAATCATGCCTCATTAAGAAAAGGTTTTGATTAGTTTTTAGTGTTTCTGAAAAGCTGGTTTTCCAGAAAATCGAGTCTTCGAGAGTCATCTGCGGGAATCCTGTTTGTGCATTTACTACCTCACTGAGGTCTATCGATCCATGTACAAATGATCGTAATCGGAGGGGGACATCTCAGTAGGTTCCTTCGTCATTTCGTGTCATATTACTTTTATGTTTCCTTGCCAAGGGCTTCAGTTAACATCTTACTAAAAAAAATCTAAGAAGTCAAAATTTTGATCCATGGAGTTTCGCTAGAACGATATTTGATAGTAAACCAGAAATCTTCAATCCTTCTATGGCAAATGAAAGAGCTAAAAATGGCCTCCAGTCTGACCTATAATTTGATTGTTAGAGAGTTGTGTAAGTTATTGGTAATAGTTCACCACACTATAATGACATTGATGATCGGAAACAAAACTTAGCAGACTTTTATCTACTGACGGATGACGGTGAGGCCTAAAAAATGGCCGTTCGATAAACGTTTTTCGTTACCTTTTAGTCTTTTTGCCCAGCTTTAAAAACTTTTTTAATTCATCTATGTCGAAAAATGAGTTTACATGTCTATTTATACCTTTTTGTGTCTGGATCTGTGGTAGGTTTTCTCTCTCGCTATGTGGCTCTTTACATCACCTTTATTGCATCATTATTTAATATGTTTCTCCTTCTCTGTTTGTTATTGAGGATGTGTCACGTTTATTTATCTATATACGTATTTTTCTTGACTCATATTTCTTTCTCTTTCTACACTATAATAGACTACCTTTCATCAGCAGTCCTCAAGTTTGCTACTTAATGTATTTCAAATGTTATGATAAACTGAGCCAATTTTTATTTTTAAGAAAGCATTTCCTACTTTTCTATATATCTCCATACATCTCTATACTTCTTTATACACTTCCATACATTTCCGAAACGCACACCAACACCCTAGATTTTCCTTCTTATTTTCCACATTTGACAAACACGCTTGATTTGTCGTCTAAATATTTACAGCCAAGCTACATGTTCCAACGCCCGCACATATAGATTTTGCGTTTTATCTGTAGTGTTTATCTGTCTGTAGAAGAAACATAAAAATATTGATGATAGGACTTCGAATGAATCTAATCCATATCATCACATTCATAATTGTCTGAATAGATAGTGCTTACGATGAAGAGACTAAAGTATCAGAAATCGATATGAATTTCTTCTTTAAATTTATGCGACATCCGAATTCTCACTATACTAAGTCAACTTACCTTGTATACAATAAAAAAATTGCCGAAAAATGCCGATGATTCAAATATCGATTTTGTTTTCCATAGGTCTGTTGGATACGGTCAGCAAATTGGGTGCCGCTGCTAGATTCGTTAATGACATCTTTATAACCGAAGAAACGAATTTATTAGATGCTAATGAAAATTTGATTAATAAGAAACGTTGTATGGCTATTTTATTACATGAATATTTTACCAAACAAATTATACTCGCATCAGTCATTCATAATGGGAAAACATATAATTTACGTAAAGATGCTCTTGATGCTTTTCGATTATTATTAAAACAACGAAAACCAAGTGCAACTTTATCAGTTATAACACAACAAATCAAATCTGTTTATGATGAAATTTCTATTGCTAATTTTGTGGTATTCCTACAGACTTTACTGAAAGAAAAAGATAAACTTCTAAAGGATTTGAATGGATTTAAAAGTGATTTTAAAAGAATTGATAATCAAGATACATATGCACGTCTATTGGATAAAGTACGTGGATGTCCAGATCTATGTCCATGTTGTAAACGACCATGTGATGTTGATCATACACAAATAAAATGGAAACCAGGTTCACAATATAATGAACATCGTTGTTTATCTGGTCATACATTACGTGCTATGAATGGTTATAAATTCGAAATCACTGAAGAAGCATCATTATTCATGTGTGAACAGATCAGAGATGATAATGTCATTGTCATCGGTCCAACACGTTATCAATGGTTACAATTCAAAAAGGAACATCCCGATTGGATATTCGATTCGGCATTGAACGATGTGGGATTAAATCGATTACATGGCAAATTTTTAACCGTATGGGCAAAAATTGGACCAAAACCTTGTGAGAAATACCGTATGAAATATGTGACACACAATATACCTCAAAAAATTGTTCATAAAACTTATCACTTCATTTTACTTCTGGATGCATCGCGATCCATGCATGGTGATCGATGGGATCATTTGATGGCTGCTGTTCAAGAATTTGTAAGGCGCCGTAGTGAATTAAAAACGAATGATCGGATTACAATCATTGTTTTCTCGGACAAAATTGAAACTCCCTTTACAGACAAAGAAATTCAGAATGTCGATGTAAGCCAAATACCATATCTTGATGGATGTACATCTTTAGTTCTGCATTCGCACGTGTCAATGATTGTCTTACTGGTCAATGACTTTTTACTCTTCGCAAACGAAAGATTTCTCCTAATTCTGCTTACGAGAATTGAGCCATCGTATTCATGAGTGACGGCGAAGATTGTTATCCAGAAAGTGAATTAGATCAAATATTAGAAGCTCATGATACAGTTATTAAACGATTTTGGACATTAGCGCTGGGTGATGAAAAATCTACATCCATGAAAACTTTAGAAAAAATTAATGAAAAGATGAAAGGTGCGTTCTATGATAGAGAAACATCCGCTGGGAAAAATCAGGGCGCATGAGCAGGTTTAACATGGTGTACTATTCGAAGCAAACTCCGAAAGCTTACTGTTTCCAAACGACATTATGAAATACAATCTCAAATTATACGATTCGATAGCGAAAACGTTTCTCTTCAAAACGAGGCAAGGTCCAGATCTTCATCTTCTTTCGTTCTGAAGATACGGTAAAATACTGTTTTGCCAAAAGACAATTCGCCATGGCGAAAGTCATCCAACGTTTCGCCAATTGCGAAAGCGTACAAATTCTTGGCGAAACGTCAGAGATTCGGCGATATATGCGTTTTCCGAGGGCATGCCTATCTCTTTCCACACACGTCTTGGAATGTCAGAAACGTGTGAATCATAGGTAATCGAGCACGCTGATTACCCTGGTAATGTTTGTTTCAGTGCGGAAACGAAAATAATGTCAGAAAATAAAATATTTTGAAAATTCGGCTTTTAGCCTTTGACGGCGGTATATTAAAAGTTTTATATAGATCAATTTTTATGTTTAATCAATCTAGATACTTTATTTGTCTAGAAAAAACTTTATTCTTGATGAAAATTGTGTTATTTCGCATTTTTCCTATACTACTGGAAGCTGCCTCTCTCCTTTGTTTCCAAAATTTTGCCCTAACCTGATTCTTTTCCTCAACATCTTTATATGGGTTTTGTATAGCGCAAAAGTCACTACTATATGCATTGTATTAAAGTTTTCTACCAACTAATTATCTCCTTAAAAAATGAGTTGCTACGGAAAAAAGATTGATTTTAAAAAACCTATTCCAAAATCCTTTTTTCCTCATGAAAATTTAACTTTCCAGAAACATCAAAAGAGACTTTTTTAAACAGTTTTACAAGCTCTTGCAAATAAGACATTGTTTGAAAAGATCGGACGTATAATGGAGTTATGGCAAAACAGTCGAAAGATCACTTTTTTCAAATTTTTCGATTGATTTGATGATGACTGTAAGCATTTACACAAGAAGCCAAATGTGTTTTGTCCAATCTAAATACTACAAGAAAGAAGACAGAAAATCCAGAAATGTATCCTGTCCTTGACATCACTTCATATTTTGTGAATTCGTAAAAATAACGGTGAACTGATACAAGAAGTATGCGAATCGATGAGAAGCGACGAATCTATAAAAGGAGTATCAGTTTTGTCTGAGAAAACAATGATTGTAATCCGATCATCTTCTAATTGTAATAATTATTTGAGTAAGTACTTTTTCTTCGTATTAATTTTATTTTTATTATATTCCAAACGTTTCGATTGATAGTTCAATCTTCCTCAGTGGATACAAACATTAATTAAATTGATTAGAAATACGTGAACAAAAACAAAATTGAACACAAAACTTCACACATAGGGGTATTCTTCCCTTTTTTATATAAATTTTAGAATAATATATATGTTGCAGCCAATTTAGAAAATTGGTCCGTTTATAAAATGAGCGGTCAATTTATAAATAGACCCAGTCTCATTGTCTGTTTGCAAATTGGCCAAAATTTGTTTGGTCAGTATACAAATGGACCAGTCAGTATGAAATGGACCGGTCAATATGCAAAATGGCCAGAAATAGTTGGCCCACAACTTTCAATAATGATCATCCCTTTTGAAAATTAAACAAAATCGTTTTAATAAACTTTTTATAGAAACTAATGAACAGCCTGTTTTTAGTAACGAAATTTTTAGTATAAGTTTAAAATCTCCTCTGGATTTGTAACCATTGGAAATGTGCTTGAGTTTTGAAAGAAATTTTCAACAGTGATCCAGTGGTCAGTTTTGGCTTGTGCATGCAGCAGACATCAGAATTTTCTTCCTGTTTTTTAATCGGATTGAAGGCGGGGAAAACTCACTTTACCAGGAACATCATTCGAAGATTCTTTCTTTCTGCGTACAATCATAAGATCGTTTACATTTGTTAAACATAGAATCGCAAGATTCTTTTTTTTAGATGTATGGTCATATGACCTTTTAATTTTGTATTACGAATATATAAATAATTTTCTAATAAAAAGTTTATTAAAACGATTTTGTTTAATTTTCAAAAAGGGATGGTTATTATTGAAAGTTGTGGGCCAACTGTTTCTGGCCATTTTGCATATTGACCGGTCCATTTCATACTGACTGGTCCATTTGTATACTGACCAAACAAATTTTGGCCAATTTGCAAACAGACAATGAGACTGGGTCTATTTATAAATTGACCGGTCATCTTATAAACGGACCAATTTTCCCAATTGGCCACAACGTATATATGGACGTTAATAAAATAACGTAATAAATGTAGTTTGGCAAACATACTATATTTATATACTATTTTTCTATGCTTTTCTGCCTAGACAATTCTTACATTATTATAAGAATACATAATTTAAAGGAAATGACCTAAGAAAGAATGGCACAAACCATAAGTAAGGAGAAATTTCATATGATATATATATATGTCAAAACGACATTTTTCTCCGTTTTCTTTTTTTTTTATCCTCCTCTTAACCACGCAACATTTGATGTTGAAACTAAATTCATATAAATAAAAAATAAAAAATTAAAAATAACATAACGTTAATAAAACAGAAGGATCGATGAAAATCTTTTTTGAAAATTACTAATATGGTGAAATGAATAACAATATGTAATAACGATAAACAAAACGAAAGAGATATGTTAGAGTTGAAATAAGTTTTAAGTAACAGTGGTTACCCACAAAGAGTTGTGAAAAAATTTTCCAAACAATTAATAAAAATAGAGAAAACAAAAATAATAAAAATGGGAAAGAATAATTCTAATTTTCGTTTTGTTTATCGTTATTACAACCCTATGTGGTAGTTATTCCACATAGACATGTAATAACTAAAACGCTCCGTCATATCTTACCAAAATTTAATATAAAAGTATATACAACTTTGAGCCGTAGTTTAGATTCCATTTTAAATAAAGCAAAACGCATAGCGAAAAATACTGATATAAGAAGAGGAAATATATCAGGAGAGGACGCGATATATGGGATACCGTGCGAGTGTGGGGATATCTATTTTGGAGAAACATAACCAAGTTGCTTTTCTTGTTCTTGGAATTTTGCAGGTTCCTGCTGTTTTTGAGCTAATTTTTGTCTAAAATAAAAGAGAATAAGTACACTCTAAAAAAAAAAGGTATTTCAAAAAACCCTAAAATGTATTCTCCATTTGAGAAAAACCAAAAAAAAGGTATAACCACCCGTGAAAAACGTTTAAAGGGTTTAACCATTTGAAACATATCATAACTGTTTAAAA